ACCATTTATCAGATATTTTGCCAATAACTCGAGGTGATATGGCTCGGCCTAATATATATTCCTAAATCATTTTCAATTATAAATTCACTTAATTAAGCTAGCAAAAATCAGTTCAAATATTACATGATAAAGTCCTAAATCTACCCGGACATAAACATGCTTTAGCTACGTACGGACTCTCGTAACCCCTGTGTACGTAGCACCCACAACTAGTAACACATAATAATTACATCACCTAGGGGTAATTTCTCCCTCACAAGGTTAGACATGACACTTACCTCGCTCTGAAGTTCCATAACCATCTCCAATGCCTCTCTAACTCTTCAATTCAAAGACAAACGATCCAAAACTAGTCAAACAATTTGCAACTCAATCAAAATATACTCCAATGCGTATAATTTAACAATTTATAATGATTCTCAACTCTACTCGAAAAGTTAACAAAGTCAACCCTCGGACCCATGTGCCCGGATTCCAAAAGTTCTTGAAGATAATCATTACCCATAACACCACAAATGCAAATATATAATTTATTCCTAATTCCATGTCCAATTTCGTGGTCAAAATCCAAAAATACTAAATTTCTAGTTTTTCCTCCAAATCTCACAATTCCCACAAATTTCATGTTTAAATCTATATATAAACCATGTATTTAACTCACAATGTGTAGAAATCTCTTACCTCAAGATTGATGATGAAAATGGCTCCTCCTAATCGCCCCAAAAATTGCCCAAGCAAGAGAGGAATGAGTGAAATGAGCAAAAATCCTGATTTGAAATAATTCTGCCTAGCCCCGTCCTTCATCGCGTTCGCGTGCCCATGGTCGCGTTTGCGAAGGCTTGACAGTCCACAGCATCGTGTTCGCATCCAAGCCCATGCGTTCGCGATGGCCAACTTGCCCCCAGCCTGGAATTCCTCATTCGCGTTCGCGATTGTCCTTCCGCGTTCGCCAAGGGAACACTGCAGGCCCAGAAACTCATAGCGTTCACGACTACCTTGTCGCGTTCGCGTAGGGTAAAGGGCCCCTTACCCCCAGCTCTCCTTCGCGTTCGCGAGTCTTACTTTGCATTCACGAAGTACAAAAAGGCAGCCACCAATTTTCCTTCTTCGCGAATGCGTGCATCCCTTCGCGTATGCTAAGGAACAAAACCAGAACCAGCAACAGTAACAGCAATAGCAAAACATAGAGAAATGACCCGAAACCATCCTGAAACATACCTGAGGCCCCCGGGACCCCATCCAATCACACAAACAAATCCCAAAACCTAAGTCAAAGCTGCTCAAGGCCTCAAACCACACCAAACAACATCAAAACTACGAATAGATGATCAAAACCTTTCTTTCAAATTTCATTCAAACTTTGACGAACGCGTATGATTCATACTTAAATATTCTAGAATGTCGCCAAACTATACGCACAAGTCATAAATCACGATACGAAAATGGCTCCTCCAAATTACCCCAAAAATTGCCCAAGTAAGATAAGGATGAGTTAAATGAGCAAAAATCCCGATTTAAAATAATTCTGCCCAGGCCCCTCCTTTATCGTGTTCGCGTGCCCATGGTCGCGTTCGCGAAGGCCTGACAGTCGACAGCATCTCGCTTGCGTCCAAGCCCATGCGTTCGCGATGGCCAACTTTCCCCCAGCCTGGAACTCCTCCTTCGCGTTCATGGTTGTCCTTCCGCATTCGCGAAGGGAACACTGCAGGCCCAGCAACTCACCGCATTCGCGACTACATTATCTCGTTCGCGTAGGGCAGAGTCCCTCTGACCCCCAGCTCTCCTTCGTGTTCGCGAGTCTTACTTCGCATTCACGAAGTACAAAAATGCAGCCACCAATTTTACTTCTTAGTGAACGTGTGCATCCTTTCGCGTTCGCGAAGAACAAAATCAGAACTAATAACAGCAGCAGCAAACCAGGGAGAAATGACCCGAAACCATACCGAAACACATTTGAATCCCCCGGGACACCGTCCTATCACACCAACAAGTCCAAAAATCTAACACGAACCTGTTCGAGGCCTCAAATCACACCAAACAATATCAAAACTATGAATCGATGATCAAAACCTTTCTTTAAACTTTGACGAACGCGTCTGATTCATACTTAAATATTCCAGAATGATGCCAAACTTTACGCACAAGTCACAAATCCCAATACGAAGCTATTCTAAGACTCGAAACCCCAAACGGATATCGATAACACCAAAATCCACTTTAAATCAAACTTAGAAAATTTATAAACTTTCAAAATGCCAACTTTCTATAATAAGCGCCGAAATGCTCCCAGACTACCCGATACTGAACCCGAATATATACCGAAGTCCAAAATTATCATACGGACCTATTGAAACCTTCAAATCCCGGTTCCGATATTATTTACTCAAAAGTCAAACCTTAGTCAACTCTTCCAACTTAAAGCTTTCTTATTGAGAATTTTCCATCCGAATCAACTCTGAACTTCCCGAAATTCAATTCTGACTATGTGTACAAGCCATAAAATATGAAGTGAAGCTACTCAAGGCCTCAAACTATCGAACGACGAGCTAGAGCTCAAAACGACCGTTCGGGTCGTTACATCATTTGTCTTCAAATGTCTATGTTTCAAGTGTCTATGTTTCAAAGTGTCTTCAAGCATTTGGAAGAAAACATGTTTCATTTATAGCTTTGGCGAAGGAAATACATGCCTCACCAGATGTTCCTATTGCTAATTAGGAGTGTAAGAAGTGCCTATAGCGGATTAGGACTTGTAGCACAACTAGTACATAAACAATTACTCACAATACAAATTGAAGAAGAACCATCACTATATTACAAAGAACATACATTAACAATTGATGTCATTGTTTTACAATGGCTAAGTACATCAAAAGTCAGTAGATAGGAGCATCAAAAAATAGTAGATAGAAACATCTAAGTTTTACAAGAACTAGGAACATCAATATGGAGCATATACCATATTTCTTTTATAAATTTACTTCATCCACATTGTCGTAACAAATCCAACAAAAAGTGCAACTGAAATCCAAATAAACATCTTTATCTTAACCACTTTATCTTCAATTTTCCTTGCTTTGTTCACTTCAACATTTTTTGCAGCCTCCAAACCTTCAACTTTTTCCAACAATTTGTTCCTTTCTAACTTGCACAACTCCAACAATTGCTTCAACATATTGATTGTACATTAGCAGCATCCAATTTACACTACAACTTATTGATTTCTATCAATGCTTGGTTCAGAAAGGGATCGTCTTTCCATTCCCAATATCCACACGACTCGTTCTAACGATAATGAACAATAATTAGGTTACAAGGAATAAAAATTCAAATTTTGTACAAATAATTAACAAACTAAACACATGGAAAATTTCAACTTACTTCAGGTTTAGTACATTTATAGAATCTCCTTCCGGGATTTTGAGGTGTGGTCAATCGGAAGTAGTTGGCAATCTCTTCATAATGGCACCTCCTCTTTGATGTAGCACTAGAATCTAACATTTGACCCACTTTTACCACCACCAATAGAAAAGGAATTAATGATGAATTTTGTTGAAATGGGCAGTCTTGATGGAGCTAAGAGCATAGAGGGTTTGATGGAAATGGTTGTAGCAGTATAACTTAGGGTTGGGGTTTATTCTGAGTTATATTTTACGGGTTTATTTGTTTGGGTATCGGGTAGCATAGATTGGGTCGATTAAAGTGATACCAAATTAAAAATGCACGTATGAGTGCCACGTGTCCCCTCCGTCCACTTAAGGATAAATGTGTGCGGATAGTAAGACAATAGGGAGTTTTATGATCCGATAGTATAATGGGGGACAACTTTAAATAATTTATCATAGTAGAAAAACATATCAGACCATTTTCCGTTTATTCTATAAGAAGTTGACTCTCCAACTTCCTTCATTTTGTCCCTTTATACATTGGTTTGCACAACATGAACAAATATTCTATACCAGACAAATTTTATGACAGATGTGCATATCTGACAATTACATAATTATAAATAACGAATAAGGTTATTGACAATGTTAATCAGAACTACAAGATTTTAATTCTATATCATGTATAATCATGTTAAAGTTAACTATCAAAAACAATATGATGAATAAATGATGTTCCTTAATTCTTGATTAAAAAAATTTGGGTTTGAGCTTTGAAAATAAAGAAACCCTTGATAAGGAGCACTCCTTTAAATGACTTCTACGTGTAAATTTGAATTAACCGAACTAGTAAATTCCAAATATCAGAAGACTATGCAAAGTTCATGTGAAGCTAGTAATTGTTTACCCTAAAAAGGCATAGTTGCATATGTATACGTAGTTTATAGACATGTGGATTAAGATGATCTGATTAGTAAATTGTAAAGAATAAAGATAATAAACTAAAGATACTTTAAGAAAGAACAAGCTTGTATTTCAGATAAAATCCACCAGGATAAGGATAACAGGAAAGCTTCAACAAAAGCATTTTTGTATAAAACTATGTAAATGAAAGAAAGAGAGATAGCTTTGCTAATTTTTGTTGATCGTGTCCTTACAATGAGTACAAATTATGCTATTTATAGTTAAATCTATGAAGACAAGATCCTCAAATCTCGCTCTCTTAAAGTTGAATAAAATCCCTTTTGATGGATGTATAATGTTGGCAATAAATGTTAAGATTTTCTGTAACGACAACTCTTTAAATGTTGTTTTTTCAGCTAGTGTCCTCGGAATGGTGTGCTATCAAATTTACTCCTCCATCTTTGTGTTCCCGAAATTCACATAGTGCTAGTCACATGTCTGTATCCGGCGTTGGTTGACTACTGACTCATCACTATCCTGTTGTCATAGCCACGTGTCTTCTCGAGGGATGTCCACTTGTGAACTCTATATTTTACGCAATACACATAGTCCTCTTACTTTTCGGTGACTCAACTTGATGTGACTGGAAAGTAGATAAGACATATTCTTTTCTTGGTGGAAAAGTTCTTGAACTACCCTGACACTTGAAAGGACGCATGCCTCTTTGCATTTCTTGAGCCTGACAAGTGCCTCTCCATGATTTGACGAACAATTTTGCTAGTTACCAAGGTAATGGTGACTTTTATTTGTGAACCGCGTATAAATTTACCCTTCAAATCAATTTCACTTTACTATTTTCCCAATTTCTTCAGCAAATCCTTCAATTCTCTGCAACTTCTCCTCCTAACAAAACTTTTGATTTTCGACAGCAAACTTCTCTACTTCTTCCATTACACTTTGATTTATCCCATCATGTCTTCTGCTATTTCTATCTGCGATAACTTATTTATTGTCATTAAATAATACGACATCACGGTAGCCATGACTTCATCCCTTCCATCAAACGCCGGTGCCAGGACTTCCATTGGCGGGGGACTGTCCAAGAAAAGCAAACCCAAAGGTTTTGACACTGAGCCTCCTACTACAGCCACGACCATTCCTAAAGAATGGTCTTTTAACAAGTATCTTCATATCCAGAACCCATCCTCTGATCCAAACAATGACAGTGATAGAGCATTCAGCAAGTATCCTTCATCCATTTAGCCGACCAGTATGCCTATTGAGAAGGAGGACTGCGACTGGAACAATATTGAGGTTTTGGCCCTCGTTGACTTGGAGATGGTGAATTTCATCAAACTAGGGTATGTTCTTATTTATATATAGCCTTTTACCCTCAGTCTTTGAAAGGAGATTGACCTTGTTATCCTCGAGGTTTGCCGGAATTACCAAATCTGTTTTGCTCAAGTCGGTCCGGTAATATGGCATATGGTAGCGTGCCTCCGGTACCTATCCTCCCAGGCACAAAAAGATCTCACCCTTGCGCATCTAATGCATCTTTATGATCCCAAAATCTTTCGAGGAGGCGTCATCAAACTTAGTAAATATATTCACATTGACATCATCACCATCATAAAGGATGAAAACGATCGTGGTTGGATGGAGGGATTTGTTGTCATCGCTCCCGGGGACATTGTATCCTTGTCAGAATATCTAATTCCTCAAACTTGGTATTATACCTTCATGTTCTCTTAAATGCATACTTTTCTTTATCATTTTGAAAGAATTTTTCATTCTCTTGAATTTTCTTCTTTCTTTTATCTGCTTGCTGGGTCCCCCCAGTAATTGAAGACCTACCTTGATAGGTTCAAAATGTTTTGAACACTTCAATGCAGGAACTCCACACCTTGAAAGAAATTTCAATAAAGAAAACTGAAAGTGCAAGAATCATGGTGAGAATACCTTCGTTCATCCTTCTCATTAACGTGTTTCTTTATTCAGCAATAAACTGTTGACTTTTCCATTTTGTATTACAATCTCAGGCCTTACCAATGGGTCATCTATCTGTTTGATCATCAAAGTTTTGCTCGACCCAAAGGTAGTCTAAAAATAACTTCAGCAAGTCCTTGACCGGAAAAGGGCTTGTAATGCAGCATCTGCTTCAGGTGAAGCTGCCTCATCTGTCAGTCTCCAAACCCAAGAGAATGAGGCTAGAAGAAAACACTCTTCTTAAGTTGGGGAGAAGGTGCAGCATCCGATCGCAGAAGAAATTTCTGAAGGGCATGATACAGTGGTCCTTGAAACCAAAGAGGATGCTGAAATGGTTTCTCTTCAAAGACGAAGAAGAAATGATAGAGCTCCAATAGTCCACTCAGATGAAGCGAATAGACTCTTTCAAGAGTCTGAATTGGATGAATAATTGACTCTTCCTTCCGGGCTTCATTTACTTCTACTGGTCAGAAGGGTATTACTCAAAGTACTGCCCCAACTCCTGATCTACCACCGATCGCTGCTGATCGAGAATAAGATATCCGTTCTCCCAGTCACCAGACCATGAAAACATAGAAAATGCCTTTCCGACTTCAATCCGAGATCCTAATGTTAAACATAGTGTTACTATTACAGTTCCGGATGAATGTCACATTCTTTCCAAATTGGTTGGGGTAGCCAATTGTATGAAACCGCTGGCTACAGAGAAAGGCTGGAAGAAAATGGATGCTCTTTCTACTGAGTGTAAACCCAACAATAACATGCACCTTTCTGCTTAAGTACCTCTTCGATTCATCTCTTTTTCTCTGTTCGTATCATTTACTTATTTCTCTGGTAACCTTACAATTTACCTTTCAGGCTAACCTTCTTACTTCCAAGGGTCTCCAAAGGATAATAATAGAGAAGGAAGAACTTCGATCGGAGCGGGACCAACTTGCTAAGCGCCTTCCAGCCTTAGAAGCTAAACTTACACAAATGGAAGAGCTCGAGGCTCGGGAGCAAACAGAGCAAGAAAAAAGAGCTCAGCGTCAAGAAGTGACTCAGTTATATGCTGAACTTGCTGAACTAAAAGGAGTAGGCAGAGTTACATGATGCTCTTACTTCAGCTGTTGCACGAGAGTCTGCTTCCATGGAAAGGGTTTGAACCTTGAATGTTGACTTGTGCTCTAAAACCGAGAAAGCTACTACGGTCGAAGAGAAAAGGGCCAAAATAGAGGAAAGACTCCGAAAGGTCATGGAACAAAATCATAAACGCGCATAAAGTAGTTCTGACTTGGCGGAGGCCTACAAGATTTTAATGTTTGACCACGAGTGGCTGTAGTTGAAGAATCAAGAACTTCAAACAAGATTCCGAGCTCAAAAGGACTCATTCGTGCTTGAAAAAACTTATGTTGTTTACATCATGCAAAGGAAGACTATGGAGGATGCCAATATTGACATTGAAAATATAGATGACTACATTGCCGAGGCTCGTGCTCTAAAAACAACCTTTTTTGAAAATATACTTGTCGGGCCTACTGCTTCAAGTTCTTCATAGACCTGCTACGAGTCTTCTGAACTTGAAGAAGAAGATGAAGAAGATGTTGAGCATGCTGATGAAGAATCATATGAGCAACCTTCGGCTCCGGAGAATGTGAGCCCGGGGAATGCTCCAACCTTCGAAGCCTCCCAACCCTCAACATATGCTAATAAGGCAGATTAGTTTATCTTGTAAATTCTTTTTCTTAAAACTCTTGTATTTGTTCTTGGCTTTCTTTTGGGGCCCAAAACTTTGAAATAAAAGAGATTTTTTCCCCTATACTTTTAAATTACCTTAGCTTCTCAGGGTTATAAGTTAGCAAAAGATATTTCTTAGTACATGCCTTTCTCTTGATAAAGTCGAAAATTTTCGCATGCGGTTGACTTTGTTACTGGGTGGTATTCTAGCTTCCGGATTTTTAACCTTTGACTGGAAAGGTATCATAAGAGAGGGCCATTATGTTTACAGTGTTCTTAAAGAGAATGTCCCATGTTCATTCCGGTACTTCTATTTGATGCTTTCATAACATTCAAATAAAAAAAAATACCAAACTTTTTAGACAGGAAATAAAAGGCAGCAAAGGGCCAAATATACCCCTCTACTTTCGAATATGATCTAAGAATACCCTTCGTTATACTATTGGGTTATCTATACCCCAGCAGTCATACTTCGGATTCAAATATACTCCTAATTTAAACGGAGGGACACGTGTCATCGTCCTATTGGTCAATTCTAAATATCTCATAATTAATTAAAAGGACCCATTAATCATACCCGAAAAGTAATTTTTTTAGCAATGTTTTTTTCAAAAAGCTGGAAAAAAATTGAAAATATTTTTACTAAAAACTGAAAAAAAAAAAAGAAAATATTTTTTGTTTAGTTTTTACAAAAAAACTGCTATAGAAAAAACTGAAAAATATTTTCTAAATTAATGTTTTTGAAAAAACATTTTTAAAAAAGCTGAAAATCAATTTTCGAAAGCAATTTTTTTGTAAAAAACTTAAATATTTTTTACTAAAAACTGAAAGAAACGAAAATATTTTTTTTCCAGTTTTTACTAAAAAACTGCTTTAAAAAAAAAGCTGAAAAGTATTTTCTAAAATAATATTTTTGTAAAAACTAAAGAAAAAAAAACTAAAAAGCAAATTTCTAAAGCAGCGTTTTTGTAAAAACTGAAAAAATAAATATTTGTTTTTTCAGTTTTTAGTTAAAAATATTTCAGTTTTTTTTTTCAGTTTTTACAAAATTATTGGTTTAGAAAATATTTTTCAGTTTTTTTAAAGAAGTTTTTGGTAAAAACTGGAAAAAAAATATTTTCTTTTTTTTCAGTTTTTAGTAAAAATATTTTTTTAGTTTTTTCCAATTTTTACTAAAAAAAAAAAAAAATTCTTCGGTATGGATAATGGGTCTTTTTAATTAATTAGGAGATATTTAGAATTGACCAATATGACGATGACACGTGTCCCTCCGTTTAAATGAGGGGTATATTTGAACCCAAAGTATAACTGCATGGGTATAGATAACCCAATAGTATAATGAGGGGTATTTTTAGACCATTTTCGAAGGTAGAGGGGTATATTTAGCCCTTTGTCGAATAAAAGATGAATAGAATCAAAAGTATTTTTTAATTATTTCTTTTTATTTACAAAGTACATTTGGACAAGTAAGAAAATTATATTTGCCAAATAGTCGAACTGTCAATCATGTGGCTACTCGTGCTTCTTATTTCTACATGGCTGGATGTACAGTTTGCGGTCTCAACTTGAACTTCTAAGTTCAAAACATGTACCCAATTTCTGCGGTCCCCAGCATTACTGTGTTTTCGGATAACATATTCCACTTGCTTCACTTTAAGCTAGCATCAAGATTTTTAGTATTATCGATTACGATCTAGTACCAGTAGGAATAATTCTCTCCTAGTACTAGATTATAAAGTATGAGGATTCAAACACTGGGTTTCCTGTTGCCATTAACAATTTATCCTTGTAATACTTTTTCCGTTGCTGCTTTATTAAAAATGTTGCCTGGAAAACCTATTTGGGACAAAAACTAGACGAAGAAAAAAAGAATGCAGCGCGTAATTTCAGTTTAATCATCAATCTTCAATAGTAGTACCTTTTATGATGGCTAACATTCCATTTGCCTAATAATTTAACTTCGTCTTAATTTTTTATTTGATACGAGCCTTTTTCAGTTATAGCTTTTATCCGATAAGGTCCTTCGCAATTTGGTCCCAATTTTTCGGCGTTGACTTTCTGGGTGTTATGAGTCACTTTTCGTAGAGTCTCCTACTTTAAAATAACGGAGATTCTCTCTACAATTATAATACCTTTGCATTTTTTGCTTTTGCGCCATCATCCTTACACAAGCCAAATCCTGGTTCTCATCAATCAAACCTAGCTTAATCAACATGGCTTCAGCATTTTTTGCTCATTTGTCTGAGAAAATCTCATAGTTGGTTCACCTATCTCTACCAGAATTAGAGCCTCTGCTCAATATAAAGGAGAAAAAAGTGTTCCTCAAGTACTTGATTTTGCCGTGGTTTGGTATGCTCATAATACTCCCAATAACTCTTTGGGCTACCTGCATTTGGCATCCTCTAATATCTTCTTCAGATTCTAAATTCTTACTTTGTTTGTTGGCTCTGCTTGACCGTTAGCACTTAGATGATACGGAGATGATGTAATCCTTTTTTATCTTCAATCCCTCTAAGAATTGTGTGGCTTTAGAGCCTATAACTTGTGACCCGTTGTCACATGCAATTTGTTTTGTACTCTGAATTGACAAATAATGTGATCCAGATGAAATCTATTACCTCGCTTCCTCTATTCTTTTTGAAAGCGCATGCTTAAACCTATTTATAGAAATAGTCTGGTCAAAATTAAAAGAAATTTTATTTGTCCGAATCCTTGAGGTAAATGTCGAATTATATCCATGCCCTATTTCATAAATGGCCACGGTAACGCAACTGAAAGCAAATTTTTGTCGGTTGGTGTACCATCTAAGCATAACGTTGGCATTTATCACACTTCTGAACAAATAATTTAATATCTTTATCCATTTGGGGCCAATAGTAACCATCTCTTACTAACTCTACACCAATGAATATGCTCCGGTATGATTGCCACAAACTCCTTCATGAACTTCCCTCATTACATAATCAGCTTTCACGGGACCTAAGCACCGAGCTAACAGATATTGAAAAGATCTCTGATACAATTTTCCATTGATAAGACAATACCGAGAAGCCTTTGTTCTAAGTGCCTGAGAGGCTTTAGAATCCTCGAGCAATTTTTCATGTCTTAAGTAATCAATAATTTCATTTTTTCAATCCAAATTAAGTTTGTCGAATTAATTTCGCAATAGCCGTCCACACTCAGAACGGAATACAGCAACTACAAAATCCAACCAGAATCAGAGCCTTTAAACTCCATTGATGAAACCAAGTTGGCTACTGCATCAGCCTCCACATTTTCTCTCTTAGGACATAAATTATTGTCCACTCCCTGAACTGGAAAAGTAAAACTTGGACTTTATTTAAGTACTACTGCATACGCTCTTTTTTGGCGTAAATATCCTATATATTTGATTGACCACCAGCTGGGAGTTTCACTTTACTTCAATCACCTCGGAGCATAGTCTCCGGGAAGGATTTAAGGGGGGCGGAAGGGGGTTCAAACCGAACCTCCTTCGCTGGAAAATTACAGTATAAATATAAGGCAAAATCTAGTTTGTGCTTCTATATATTATATTTTGAATCCCCTTAACACATTCCAAAAGCATAGCTCAGTGGTCAAGGGGGTTCAAAATCTTTGTTAGGTTGCTGGTTCAATTCCTATTGAAAATTCTGTCTCTGCCACTGCCTTGTCCCCGAGCTAATTAAAGTCCTGCAATCATAACCTCATACTCAGCTTTATTATTAGTTAAAGGAATAGTTTGTATGGCCTACCTTAAAATTTTCCAGATGGAGTACTAAGTTCTTTACCCAAAATGGACCCTTTCACGTTGGATGCACCAACCATAAATAAGGTCCAGACATCGGACACAGTCCCTGAAACTAAAACTGCTTGTTTTGCAGCTCGAGGCATTATTCCCGAACTGAAATCAGTCACGAAGTCAGCCAAAACTTGTGACTTGATAGCAGTCTGCAATTTATACTCAATATCAAACTCACTAATCTCTACCACCTATTTAGTCAAATGATCTGATAACTCAGGCGTGTGACGAACATTCCGCCAGTGAAAAGACATTACAATAGCTCTCGGGTGACATTTAAGGTGTGGTATAAGCTTTCGAGAGGCAACTACAAAAGACAGAGCCAAATTTTTAAGGTGCGGATATCGAATTTCTGCACCTGACCATATTTAACTAATGTAATAAATAAGGTATTGCGTATCGTCTTCTTTCCGGACCAAAACTGTACTTATCGCCACTTCTAACACCACTAAATATATTAAAAATTGCTCACCATCATTTGATTTGGACATCAAAGGTGGACTGGACAAGTACTTCTTCAAATCATGTGCTTGTTGGCATTCCGATGTCTACGTAAAGTCATTCTTCTTTTTAAAAAAGGAAAGAACCAGACACTTTTCGGAGGATCTAGATATGAACCTACTAAGGACTGTTAATATTTCGGTCAACCTTTTCACTTCCTTTATGCTGTTCAGTTAATCATGAATATCCTCTATGGTCTTAATCTTGTCCAAATTTACTTCAATTCCTCGTTGTGATACCGCCAAGAAAATTTTCGGATCTAACCCCAAAAGCACATATTTCGGGGTAAGCTTCATATTGTATTTTTCAAGATGTCAAACATTTCTTGCAAATGACTAAAATGATCCCCTGCATTAAGAAACTTAACCAACATGTCATCAATATAAACTTCTATAGTTTTTTCAATTTGATGTTCAAACATCTTGTACGAGCCTCTGATAAATGGCTCCAACATTTTTAAGACCAAAAGGTATTACATTAACAATAAGTACCAAAATTAGTAATAAATAAAGTTTTTTATCCTCCGAATGCATCCATATTTGGTTATATCAGGAATACGCATCAAGGGATCTCATCAACCCATGCACAGTCGTGGCATCAATTATTTGATCAATGTTCGGTAATGGAAAGAGTCTTTAGGTCAAGCCTTATACAAATCCTTAAAATTGATACACATTTTAGATTTATTCATCTTTTTTGGTATCACAACTGCATTAGCTAATCAATCAGGGTACTTAACTGGTCGAATTGAACCGATATTAAGAAACCTAGTTA